TAAATAATACGATTAAATAATACGATTAAATAATACGATTAAATAATGCGATTAAATAATACGATTGACTTCCTATAATAATACGTCAAAGCATTGAAATATAGTACATATTGACATATTGGTAATTTAATTGTTATCTTTCTGAAAAAGAGGAAAAATAATTATTTTTTGTTACTTTCGTTAAATATACTTTTATCGAGTTTCCCTTTTTATTTCATAACAACAATTAATAATACAGGTACGAAAAATCAAGACCTCCTATTTTTTGTTTGGCTTTAATAAACAAACAAAGAATTCTCATTCTCCGTTGAATGACTTTCCTCGTTTCTGATAACGTAATATAATAAAGTTCCCTTGGAACGCTTATTGTGAAAGTAACAGTATCAAAGAATATATTACGTCGTATTTCCTTTGTCACGGTAATTTTATTAGAAATTAAAATGTTTGAAAGTTAAACTGCTTTATAATTAATTAATTTTCTGCACTGTTATCCCACATCCTTTCTCTGTTCATTCCATTACGCGAATAAGAAGCCTCTTTCCCCATGACACTTCAGTTTTGAAGGCAGAAGATGAATTGAAATCCCGCTTGTTAAACTCTGAATTGAAAGTTGAATGTCCTTTCACAGGGAATCGAGGAGGGATTGACGCAGATGTGCAAGTGCAGTAACGATCCAAGAAATCTAGCAGTTTGGAATTTTCCCTTGGACATTACGTTCAAGAGTACAAATCCACACGGATGTGAGTTGCGCGTAGAAAATATTCTTGTAACGTGCGTCATAAAGGGAACGATGAAACAAGTGCAAAAAATGCGAAAGCGTAAAAAGATTTTTCGCGGTGCTTTTTGCTTTATTTAATCTACAAATAGTGTAAATTTTTGTCGTATAGGGCCGCAGCTTATCATGTCCATATACGGCTTGGATTTTTTCGGCCATGACGTCATCAGAGGATACGGAGTGTGTCATTTGCCTCTGACAGCTGGACGCCACGAGAAAAGGTATTATTTGCCCAACGCGATAAATGAGAGAAAACATACTGAATAAGGGCCACTTCGACCAAGCTCCGATTAACTTAATCGTTGATTAGTCATTTGTCAATCTGCTTCATGAGCAAATGCGATTGGTCATTTCCAATGGACTAATCAACGATTAAGTTAATTGGAGCTTGGTCGAAGTGGCCCTAAGAGAATATGCTGTTTTAATTATTCACTTGTTATTCATAAAATAACAAACGGGATAACAACCGAAAATGTGATACTAAAAACATGGGTGCACATCATATTATAAAGTCTTTTATATTCATAACTTTTTCTCGAAGACATTTGTTTTGCGGCCGAGACGAATCACTGTTGAGATAGGTCGCGTTCGGTTGTATTACATTATTCATTGATTTATAGAACAGCTCTATTTTTCGTTGTTGACCTTTTGTGAAATTCCTTCAAGCCCCGGCTATCGATCAGCGAGCGAAAATAAATTTCAAATTTTCGGTGGCCCGGAAACGTCACTTTTTTTTCACATTTAAAGCATTTGCAAGTGGCATTATAAAATATCAAGTGATATTTTTGAAAAAAAAACCCCGGGCTGTATGACAAAAAAAAATATTTTCCTGTGTGGTACTTCAAAAATATCGTAATACCGTAATTCGGTATGTTTTCTCGATTGTGTTACATTTTACGATATTTTCCCGAGTTTCGAACTTACATCCGTCATGATTGAGATAAACAGTCCCCATGCATTACATGCACAGCACGTAGCGCGCATTGGAGGAAAATATTTTTCATTCCATGTTGTTCAATATGTAACGCATTGTCGCGTGCATTGGCAAGTGCATTCAGAATTTCTCGGGAAAAAAACAACTTGTCCGACGATGCGACAATATAATATATAAACGTAATAAATATGTAACACAGGAAAGACACAAAGACAAAGACAAGAAAGGGAGGAAGAGAGAAGGATTCATTATATTTGTAAACAAAATGATAGATTTGCCTTAGATTCATGACTTAAAAACGAAACACTAGATTTCTGACTCTGAATAGAATTTTTCACAAGAAAGATAATTTATACATCCGCCATGAATTGTGATATTTTCTGATTTCAAAGTACATATGAAATAATGCTCGACTTCGCGAATGGAAAAATGTGGCGTTATAACAGTCGTGCTCCGACGTATTCAATAAAGGGACCGAAATCCGCGGGAATGTCGGATGATATGTGCGACGCGGAGAATCGGTAAATCTTTATTTCTTACTTCTGCGTGCAAAGGCGTCCAAAGACTCTCGTGGACAGATACTCGATCGTAATTCCGCATCTACGTCGGTGTGCCACTTGGCACCTACCATCCCCTTTGAAATGGAGCGCGCCACCCTTTGATTGTGCCGCTTTCAGCTTTTAGTCTCATATACTCACGAAATCTCAAAAATGTCGAAAGGGTGTCGATCTACGTGCCGGCGTCGTCGTCCATGCTGCAGAACTTCGTGGAGTGGTTAACCGGAAGAAGACCGGAATTAATTGATCCCACCATACTGGCATCCGGCGGCGGCAGAGAACGTAAGGAAATGCATCGAGAGACATTTCTCGTTAGTGTGCTATTGGCGTTAAATTAATTACATACGGGAGGCTGGAACTGTAATGGAATATTAATCAATGTTGCCGTATTCGCGTATAAAATTAAGTCGTTCGCTTGTCGTAGAACTGAGCAATCTCGATGCAGCGAGCAAAGATCGATAGTCAAATAGATAGATTTTTTAAAGAAACAATTTTTGTGAAAGAGTTATAATTTTAACGCGTTGACTGCCATATATACACTGAGAAAAAAATTGTTAATCCCAAAAAATTTTTAATCCGATATGTTCAACTAAACATTTTAGTTAGTTAACTAAACATTAGTTATTTCAACAATTTTTCAGTTTCTTTAATCAAGAATTAATTGATTCAACTAATGTTTAGTTAACTAACTTATTTAATTATATTACAAAATATTACACAATATTATTTATTATCATATGCTTACAATAATGAAAATTCTACTGTAAGGCAACTGGCGGGCAACGTGGAAATAATAAGATGGAAAAAAGAATTATACGTAAAGATCGATTAAATGATGAAAACTTTTCGGAATACGGCGGAAAAGGATCTCCCTCTCCACTTGGAGAAAGTTTGCGTGATGTTAACAGCTTTAATGATAACAATACTTTTGAAGTTCGCTAACTTTCGGAGCGCTGCTTTCACGCGCGAGAAGTTCCTTCGCTGCCGCTAATGCCTTACTCTCCAAGTCGTATTTATTTCGCAATATTACAGTTACACGTATGAGGGTCGAGGGAGCTGTTACCGTAACGTTCAACGTCGTTTTGAAGGATTTGTTCAAGCTGGGTTACGACAACGGCGAGAAATGGAAGAAATGATAACGCTACTGTAAACCTTTCTCTCTCACAGCCTGAAGAGGATTACCTCTCGCCGAGGTGGATTATCTTATCAAAGAGCTACAATATATATATAATCCCCGCTTTTATAAATAATATTTTGATGAATAAACGAGGTGTGACTTATCCGCCATAATCCATCGTTTTCCATTTTCGCCAATGTCAACGGCGGGGAAATGTAGAAGTAAGAAAATTAGAAGCGTATTTTCACGTTAATGGGGATTCTGTGTAAAAAAAAGGGATGAGCGAACGAGCTAAATCCCTCGCGACGGGCTTATTAAGTTTTCCCGTAGCTTTAATAACAATCCGCGAGAGACGCAAGGGATGCTTCAGCCAGGGTGACGTGGGCGTTTGCGATAAGTGTAGCGAAGAACCGGATAGTCGGTTCAGAAAGCCCTTCCACCCCCTTCGAAGGCGGATTAAAAATGTCATTTGCGCGAGACGGCCGTGCCGGAAAAGCCATCCGCCCGCTGCAAGCCTTCGATTTTCCGCGCGATTACAGCTGACCGAAGCAGCCGTTTTGCATATCGTCGCTGGAATATTGCGCTCGAGATTTTCATCGAGCGGCGCGGCGCAGCGTCGCGGGCGCGGCGAGGGGTGCGCTTTACGCTTCAGTCACTGAAGACGTAGTCCAGAGAAATTACACGTGACTGCATCCACTCATGTCAGCCATAAACGTAACATTGCAAATGGAATATGCATCGAAGGATATGCACTTAACATTTGGACTATGATAGATATATGTTCTTTGAAAATATATATACGTCGTCCCCCGGCGGGAGATTCATCGTCAGAAAGTAATAAAGCTACGAGGACGGTTATATCTCTCCCGCAACATTTCAATTTTCGACGTGCATTAATAATAAATTCCCAGATTAAAAAGTGTCAGCCAGAGCGCACGGAGTGACGTAATCTCTGATGGGTTTCTCGACTCACCGCGCCCGCGCCCGCGCCAAGACGATAACGCAATTTTATTAATGATTCAATAACGCGCGCGACGTAAAAATCGAGGGTCGAGGTGGGCCACTTTTAATCTAGATGACGTATCCGCGCGCGCGACACTACGTATACGATTATATATCCGCGCAAGCCGGTGAGTGCCCGAGGATGACGTCGTCCGGCGTTTTACGAGCGGCGCGGGCTAAAGGTAGCTAGATACAACTGCAAACTATACGAGCCGTCGTAAACTATACAAGTCGCGAAATAAGCGCGAGCGGCGTCGAGCGCCCGGCAATGAAAGGACGCCGCGCTACTCCATTATTGTTGTTTTCTCACGTGAACCGGGAACAAGATCAGTTTCCGGGCGACGATTAAATTATGCTAATACGTGGAGTACGGATCGCCTGACTCGTGCTCATCTCGCGCATGCAGGAATTCCCTCCACGATTTGACGATGAGGGAGGAAATATGAACGGAGGGGAGATTTACTCATTTATTCTTGTTTATCCTTGCTTACTTATACTGTTCTTATTAGAAGGGTTACCCTATAATTTTAGTAAACAGTCCATCCATCTGTTTACTTATTCGATTTTTCTTATTCGTTCAGTGTATATTCGATTCTCGTACAAATTGGTTAACTACAATGACAGTATTAAGATGACATATGTGGACTAAGGAGAGGGTAAACATATATCCGCACAGCAAAATCGACGCAAGGTATAAAAGCATTATTATTCGTGTTTATTCAACAATTTGTTACATCAATGTGCGATAAAGTGCGACTAACAAGTTATTTGTTTTACCGTCAAACGGAATTAGCGAAGTGGTGTAACTTGACCTAGAAAAAAACGTGCTCTAGCAACACTCGTGCATAACGACGCGACAACGAAAAAGAGGCACGCTGCGAAAGAGCAGTAACATTTTACAGTTCTAAACAATTCAATGTCCGACCCATTGATCCTCGAGTAAACCGCAATCTCCGTAACGTATTTCAGCTGCTTTCGGAAAAAAAAAAGAGTTTTTCGATCGCGGGTCGCGCGTGCGACAAACGAGGCGAAGGTAACGGTCGGCGAGACGCGCAATACGAGGGCGGAAATCCAGCCCTCAACTCGCGTTAATTCACGCGATACAAGTAATTATATATGCTCGGTACGCAGATGTTTAATGAGATCTACATCTCCGCGTAGAAAAATTGAAGGAACAAAAAAGGAGATGAAACGCGCGTCCTTGTTAGTTGCAACCCTTTTGCGCCGACCTGAGTGTGTCCTTTGTGGACTCATGGAAACTTACTGTAATTTTAGAGTACGAGAGTACTCCCCGCAATGAGAGTACGATGGGTATATATCTTTGCGCTGCCCTGGTTTTTCCTCTTTTGTGGACTAGACTCGTTACAAGTTCTCCGCGTTGTCTACGCTCATCATTAAATGTCTAATAAATATTTAATACCTAAATCCCGCTAGGTTCTCAATGTATTTAGATAATTTTTTAGTGTTTTTAGTAATTTTTACTTTCGTGACAATCATGTTTGCCGTAAACATGGAATTTTAATAGAAATGTAGCCCAAATCAAATTGTCCTACTGTTCAAAGAAATATATAAACTTTTGTTAAGTGTTCTCAAAATAAAAAATCAAATATACTGTATCTTCAATAATACCGTGAAAAAGACAGACGATAGCAGGAGATACAAAAATTCTGTGAAGCAGACTGTTTTGGCGATACGAAGAAAACGTGTTCCGATCGATCTCTAATTTTAAAAGTTAAGAATTCAATTTAAAAAAAATGACGCGAATTCCGTGTCAATTTCTCTCAATCCGTTTTATCTCGATTTATTCTTTTTTTTTCTGGAAAGATACTTAACTAGCTAACTCCTACGGAGTCAATTAGCTACTGATCCGTTCACGTGTATTATCTGTCAATGCCGTTGCCGCCGTCGAATATGGGGTCATCCGCGTACTTCGCTCCCGGGAAGAGACGGAGGAACTCGAAGACGATGCCGTTTGTCCAACCGAAGCCTTCCTGCACGTTGTACTCGCCGCCGCCGCCACTCTCGCCGGGATGTATCGCGTTGTACTAGAAAGTAAAAGATTAATTATTCCGTGTAATCGGGCGTTAACCCGGTTCGCAAACCAAATCGTCGGCGCGTCGCGAAAGTAATCAAGACGCACTCCGGATTGTCGCCTCCTTCGTGGTTTCCGCCGCGTCGCCGCGCCGTGCGGCGGCGAGTTAATTCCCCGCCGGTGGAATACCTATCCCGGGGAAATCTAATTTCTCCCGATCGCGAGAGAACTTGGATGAACTTTCTCGTCAGTTAGTTAAACGACGCTTCGCTCGTCTGAGCGATCGCGCTACGAAGGGCTCGTCGTGAGCTCGGCGTAAAAGCGTCATTTCCTTTCCGTCGGCGACCGTGTCAAATATAATATTCTCCCGCGAAACCACGGGCCTTTGTCTCTCTAACCCGTCAGAATTTAATATCGAAAACGCAAAACGTAATCCTCCATATAGATCATTTTATGCTGCCCAACATTCTCCTTTTTGAGGGAATTTTTAACTTCTGCATGGAAAGGGCAAGACAACAGAATATAATTAATAAGCAAGTTTATAAGACTAAATTTGGATTAGAAGTTTGTTGAATTTTTCCGTTAATGAAATAGCGCGGATAACGAGATACGATTTATCAAACATATAACTTTGTCAATTTTGTCTCGAAAGATTTTCTACATGACAGCTGTGAGAGATTTGGAATTCTAACGAGGCATTTTAATTACAATTTATACAATAAATTTATACGAAATATTTATATTCAATATATTTATTTTCATCAGTCGTCATATATATCGCGTGTGATAAATCACTACGCCGAAACCTCGCGCGGTTGACGTTGTTATAACAATTTCCGATATGAAAGCGATGCGATATAAATCGAATGGGCAGAGAGTAGAATGCTCTTCGTTATTTCCCCGATTCTCTCTCGTATGACTGGGTGCGGGACGCCGAACGAGACAATAAAAGGATACTCGGTGTACGGCGTACTCTTCTCTTTGTCCGCGACAATGCGACATTTAAATTGTTACCGTTCTTATCGCGCGCCTTACAATGCCGGGAAACAGCTTCTATATACGGATCGCTACTCATTTCGGAGAGAAGCGATATTATAAAATTAATAATTAATATCAGAGAAAAATTATATATTTTGTACGATGTTATTTAAATGAAATTAAATATGTAAGAATGTTGGGAAATCGCTGCTGATGTGGAAGCGACATTATAAAATTAATATCGTAAACAATTGCATTTTAAAAACGAAAACAGAGAACTTGATTCGCCAGTGAATAATTAACAATTAGCAAAGGTATACTATTATACTCGACTCAATTGGCCAAATTTTATTGATCAACGCTACGTTTCGACCGCAGATTTCGGTCCTTTTCAAGCGTATAGAAACAACTCACAAATATTAATCAGTCAGACATAATGCCCAAACTACGCCGAATCTAAAAATTAAACATAAAAAATTGAAGCACGCAACAACAAGTATAAATCCATAAGTAATTTCTGTTTGTTTTAGATCATCGATTCTATCTTCACCTCGTTTAATTAAGCAGTCAAGTTTTTCAGAGACTGTAAACAGAGTAGTGATAAACCAATTATTAATAAACATATTGCTAAACGTTTAAACCTTCAAAATACGCAATACTACACATAACACTCCCACGGACGATAATGTATTTTTTGATTTAAAAAACTGCATACCATTACCATATATCAAAGGTTTAGGCGATAATATTTGTCGCAAGTTGAGAAAGTTCCATATCACTACTCTGTTTACAGTCCCTAAAAAACTTGACTGCTTAATTAAACGAGGTAAAGATAGAATCGATGATCTAAAACAAACAGAAATAGTGTACAAGATCAATTGTAAGGATCGCAATGCTACGTATATTGGGCAGACAAAAAGACATTTGTGCACACGTCTCAAAGAACACCTGGGCGATATCAGGAAACAGGCTAGTAAGCATTCTGTAGTGAGCATCGTACATCCTTTGGACATGATTTTGTTTGGGGAAAGCCAGAAATCATACATAAAGAGAGACAGATTAGAAAGAGGGAATTAGCGGAGATGTTTTTTATTAAGAAATTTGACGACATTAACTTACAAAAAGACACGGAGAATTTTAACACTCTCTACGAACACATTATAAAAAAAAACATAATTTCCTCTCCTTCTTCGCTGTTTCCCTCTCTACGCCCTAACTTTTATTCTTGACGACACTGGTTTGTTTTTATTGCTTGTCCGGTTTGTCAGTTTAAATTTCACCACCGCACGGCTCTGACATGTCCCTCGACATAAACGATTAACGAAAATGCCGTTTGACATGTATTTTACCTCTGTGATTTTAACGCACAAATATATAAGCTTCTGATTTATATAAATATTTATTGATTTATACTTATCGTTGCTTCAATTTTTGATGTTTATAGTTTTTAGATTCGGCGTAGTTTGGGCATTATGTCTGACTGATTAATATTTGTGAGTTGTTTGTATACGCTTGAAAAGGACCGAAATTTGCGGTCAAAACGTAGCGTTTTTCAATAAAATTTGGCCGGTTGGTCGAGTACAATACCCTTGCTAATTACATTTTACCTATCATTATGGAATGGAAATTTTAATCGATCCCCGTAGGGTTACAATTCTCATCCATCACTACCCTTCTCGTCTCACTTAACCCTTTGGACCAACGGCTTAACGTTTCTTCCTGAAAGACGGAGCCCAGTTTGCTCCGCACAAGAGCCTTTCTCGCACGGAGGGCGCAGCTTTCGGAAAATAAATTCCATGTTTACGTGCTCAAGTGGACTCGAACCTGGTTTCTCAGATTACAAGGGCGCTCTACCACTAGACCACACTGCCGCCCCTTCGCTAATTACCTTTTACCTGTCATTATTTAAATAAAAAAAAATATGCATGAATATTGAACAAATATATGAAACGTTTATTATTGCGCGAATGTTTTGTTAATTGCTAGCAACTGATTTTATTCACGTATCGTGATTATTTGTTACTTTTAAAAATACGTAAAAGAAGAAAAGCTTGCAATTAGTCTTTTTCTTTTATTGAAACGTCGATGTTACGTGCACCAATTAAGCACTTCTTTTTAAGTACCGGATGATAAATGAGCAATAACGTCGCGTGATAAACACCGACGCATTTATATTGATGCAAAGTCATGTTTACTGATTTAAAGAAACGCCGTGTGCGTTTGTAATTGACTATCGCATTAGGCGATCGTTATATACCGACTGTACTATCTGACGCGTAAATCAAAATCGTTTCTTTTTTATGAGACGTAATGTACCTCAACTATTTTTTCTTCTTAAATATTATCTATAAATGTAGAATAATCGTTTTCATATCGAGCGGATAAGAACATTGCAAAAAAATTCTAGAGGGCACGAGGTAAGTTTTGCTATAAAAAAATTTGATTTTAAATTTAAAATATATCGTTCGGGCCACTTGCTTCCGCAACTTTATTATACGTCTCGACCATAAATCCGCCTACATAAAAAAACGGATCGTAAAATTGATTCCTGGATTGGGGGATACACGCGCGCACGCACATTCGTCGTAAAGCGCATCGCGAGAGGAAGCAACAAACGTGGCAGATCCAATAACACGAATGTAAAGCTTGGAGTATTATATATATGCAAATTCTCCGGGTAAAGAAGTCGATTTCTCTTCATTGAAAAATTGTTTGACTAATATTGCCGCGTAGAACTCCTTTTATTTTCCACCGAATATTTGGTAAACTTTTTCCACCTTCCTCAGTCCAATTAAAAATATATCCTTCGCTATCTCGCCGCGGCGTATATTTTGCAATTCACGGCGGTCCGTACATTCCTGATAAAGACGCCTGTTCCAACAGCAGGCCGGAAATTAACTGGAATAAATTGTCCCTGGTTATTTCTGACGAAAAAGAGAAATAGGGTAAAATCGTGATGCTTTCAGACGTAGCCTTGCTAATTAATATTCCGTGCTAGTTACTGCAACTATTAGATTACAACGTTATATAGAGAGAAGGCAGAAACGTAATACCTTTCCGCAGTATTTCTGAATAAATAAGCTTCTTCGTATGCTCTCACTTTTATCTCACTTTTACGAGAGCAAATTTGAAAGCGCGTTGCGGGCTTTTTGACTCTTTCTCATTAATAAATATGCCATAAAAATGCGATGAAAATGGACTCTACGTGTCTCATTAGATATCACAGTTATTAGTTTCATCAACTGAAAGCAGTTCTACTAATTCTAATGCGAACAGCATGCGAGCCTGTTTACACGTTTTACAGGTTCAATTAATACAATTGTTATGCAAAAATAGTTACCTATTGTTCCACACTACTTACGTAATAATACGATATGTCGGTCAATTAGTAGCGAACTAATTAGTCGCGCTTTCTCAGAAAGCTAATTATAAAGATCGAGCCGGATGACAAACTGTTTCTGCAAATGGAAAATATAATTTCAATTCTCTCATGTCGACGCGCGTAAAATTCTCTCTCGCTCGGATACCTCGAGGGCTCCTTTTCATCCTCCAGTACGCGACAGGCGCAAGAAACCTTGATTGAATCGATTGAGTATGTTTGTTCAGCAAAATGGACCGGATATTTCCTGAGAGAGAGAGGAGAGCTCGTTACTGATATACCGGTATCGACACGACATGATTTGTACAGAGTACCGGAGTGTAAATTTCACCCGCCATTCTCTCGTGACGCCCATAATTATTGTGGCTTAAATTACGCCATTAGAATAGTTTTATTGAACAGCCGCGATTATCAATACGGCTACGCCATAAGTATTAGTCGTCTCGTCTCTTAAATCATGATATACGGACACGAGGAAAAGTCAGTTCATTAATATTGGTGAGAAATGCCGGAAGGAATGAAACAATTTTCTCACGTTAGGAAACATTTATTTTACAAGCTTGGATTCTTTTTCATTTGAGTAGCGTTATTAAATTTTCCTCGAAAAAAAAATACTTGTACAGTGAATTTACATTTTCGAGCGTTGTAATATCATAAACGTTGTAGTGATTTTTATTGAATTGTTTAACTATTGAATGTTTTATAGCGTGAAAAATTGTGACAAACATAATCATAATTGTTTGCGATGTAGTTTGCCGGGTTTTAAGAGATTAATACGGCTAGTCTTTGAAATTAGGTGAATTCAATAATTCTACAATAAAAAGTAAAATATCTTCGTATATATGAGCATGAATATAATTTGTAAAAGGGTAATTGCCAAACACAATTTGCGGCGAACTACTTAATTATGAATGTTTCAACGTGATAAGTTGAAATAAATGTTATAATTGTTCGTGATTTAATGTCGAGAATCAGTAGTTTAATATCGATTTGCGATTAGGTA